CTTGAAGTTTGTCACGTGAATACTTAAGTGTTGGAAAATGCCTGGCCTGGTTTCAGGAGCTGTAACCCTGCCAACAGGCTGGAGGGCCCCAAGGCTGGATTTGCCCTATTTGTCCCTTAGGGCCATAGCACCTGAGGGACCAGACACTTTTGCGTGGCGAAGTGTGACCTCCTATGCCAGTTATGGATATGTTGGCTTCTGTTAGTGGCCAGTCTGGAGGCCAATATTGGCTAGAAATTACAGAGACATCCACACCTGTATCTAGCAGACCATGGAAACCTCTGCCTTTAATGGTCACTTCCAAAAGAGGTTTATTTAATTCAATGGAAGTAGTCCAAAAAATTGACTGGTCATCAGTGCTACCAAAGCCTCCCTTCCCTCTCTCAATATCTGGGGTATTTGGCACAACACAGGGAAGAAGAAGAAGTCGGGCTGTATGAGTCTGGGCGGGAATGACATGATATCCAGAAGCTCTAATCATAATTCTAACTTCTCCCTGATAATCAGAGTCAGTTACTCCAGGCTGGACTAGGATTCCCTTGACAGTAAAACTAAATCTTCCTAAAATTAATCCAACTGTGCCCTCAGGCAACGGTCCCCACACTCCTGTAGGAGCCAGGACAGTTCTGTCCCCTTCCTTTAGGATAAGTTCCTGGGTGGTGACCAAGTCCAGTCCTGCGCTCCCCTTCGTGGCAGCACAGACGTCGGTGACTCTGCATACCCCTGGTTCCCGAGCAGCAGGTTGGGGTTTGGGGCACCGGAGTACGCGCCCCCCTGCCCGTTTCCCTGAAGAGGAGGTGTTCTACCATCCTGGCCATAACCAGATTTCCACGGGTTAGCCCAGTGTCGGCTTTTACGACAACGTGGGCAAACCTTATCAGGTGGTCTCCCTGAAGTAACGTGTACGGGGGCTTTGCAGTCCCTGTGCACATGGCCTGGCTCGCCACAGTTAAAACACTTATTTTCTCCCTTAATGGCAGTGGCTAATAGCGAGGCACGCTGCTGCTGCTGCTCCGAGCCTACACTCTGGCAGGTCTTGGTGAATTGACTGATATTGGTAGCAGTTGATCTTATAGGAGTGAGAATAGCTTTACAATCATCATTAGCATTCTCATAGGCTAACTGTAATAGAAGGGTCTCAGCTGCTACCAGGTTCTCAACTTGCTTCTGTATTGCCTCCTGTAATCTGTCAACAAAGTCTAAATAAGCTTCCCTGACCCCTTGTCGAATGTTAATAAAGGAGCCAGGTCCCTGGACTTTAGCTTCCGGGACCACTCTTAAGGCACAGGAAGCCGCCTGGGAGCATTGAATAAAAACCTGGGCATCCAGTCTAGCCTGCTCTTCTGGAGTTTCATACTGACCCATTCCAAGCAGCATATTAAGCAGCACGAGGCTGTCGTTCCTGGAGTTCTCCATGGCCTGTTGAGGACAGCGGTCTGTCTACTCTGGTCGCCACAGAGAGAACTGAGCCGGGGTCAGAACAGTCCTCGCCAGAGCAATCCAGTCACAGGGGGCCATTCGATAGCCATCAGTGATGGCAGAGATAAGCCCCAAAGTGTAGGGGGACTGACGCCCATTTTCTTTGATGCTCTTCTTTAAATCTTTACACATTGCGAAAGGCAACGCTCATGGAAGAGCTGTCTGCACGTCTTACTGACAATCGGAACAGCTGATAAAGCATCCCAGTCTCCTGCTTGAGCAGCCTCTTTAAGACATTGCTGCATAGCAGTGGTGGTCTCTTTAAATGCTGGAGGGGAGTCGGGGGGGAGGAGGAGGCGGAGGACGAGGTGGTAAATCTTCCCACACATCCTCCTGAGGCCGGGCAGTAGGAGAGCTAAAAGGGGAATCTCCTTTCTCTGTTTGTGGGGGAGGCTCTCTAATTAGGTTCATTACCCACGCAGGCATTCACTTTGTGGTCTCTTTCCACTGAGTCTGAGCTTTCCTGAATACTAAAATTTGCAGTATGAATAGGGACTAGAGCTGTTCTAATTAGCCTCTAAGTTAATAAATCCTGACGTCCTGTAAGGATCCCATTTTCTTGAAGCCATTTCAGTCTCTGTCCGACCTCTTCCCATCCTTTCAAATCCAAACAACCTTCTGAAAACCATGGACAGTATTTCTTCACTGTCTGCAATAAATTAACTATATTTTTCCCTTTAACTTTGCATCCTGCAGCCTTAAGAAGATGCTGAAGCAGTTGAGAATACATCGTCTGTTCCCTAGAAAGTTTTGAGCCCATTTTTGCGGCTGGGATGCTGTCGTTTTTGTTTTCTGGCTCCGGTATCTCTCAACTCCACTCCGCTGTTTATGAAAAGCCTGTTCTGATTAAAAGCCAGGGACTGAAAAAACGGGCTGCTTTCGGGAGAGGGCTTCCAAGGGTGTCCCTCCTTGGTTACCACCAACTTTATTTTACCGTCAGTGGAATTCCCTGTGAGGCCCTTGCACGTTTTAGGAAATAACCCCAGACACTCCCGTGACAGCCTCCACTCACGTGGAGACACCCGAGCGCGCAGCTCCCCGGAGCTGTTCCGCTGAGACCGAAGCTCTCCTTCTCCGTCCTGACTGCTTAATTACTTAATGGCTGGAGACTCCCTGTTTGAAAAGCAGAGGGAGAGGAGAGAAAGGGTCCGGAAAAACTGCACTTTTCACTCCAAGCTGGAGTCTTGCTTTCTCGTCTTGAGAGTTAAAACCTAGATGGGAATGTGCCGCAGGGTTGGGACTGTGAAGGCTTTGACCGTGTGCCTCTCGTTGCGTGGACTTCGCCTTCCGGCTGGCCGGAGACCTAGTGTCCTGTGCGGGTCCACGTCCAGCTGATCCTTCCATGGGAGCCTTTATATCGGCGAGCGCCCTATGAGCGTCTAAGTGCTCGACCGGTGCCCGAAATGTGGCTGACTCAAGGGAGAGAAAGCAAGTCTGCAAGGAGGGTTTCTCTCTTTTTTTCTTTTGAGTTCAGATTGAAACTTTCAGATGCTAACAGGGGGAGGGGAAAACACAGGACAGAAATTCTAAATAAACCAAACCTACCTACTGAATGGGCACCGGCTTCAAGCTCTCCCTGAACCTGACACACCCCCGCAGCTCCACCCATACAGGGACGGTGCCGCTGACTCCCTTTCCCGGGGAAGAGGCCTCTTCCAATCCAGTCGGTGTGTGGTCCCTGACAGGCGTTGCTTCAGCAGCCGCTGTCCGAGGAATTTTGGGGTCACTTTTCGACCCCATCTGCACTGGGCTCCAACGGGGCCCAAATGTCGCACCGCGTGGTGGCTATAGGGGTGCTATAGGTGCGCCGCAGAGAGCGCAGCGCTCCCTGAAACCTGAGGGAAACCGGCTGGGGGCCAGCTGCGGTGGGAGCCGGGCTCTGAAACCCACAGAGCCCATCCTGGGGTTGTCACGGATGAGGGGGAATAAACACAATAACGTTGCAAACACTTCTCTGTTTGCCCCGGAGCAGACGGGGCACTTCCCTCCTACCAGAGAAGGCCGTGGCACATCCCCCTAGTGGGGAAGGCCCCGTCGCGCTTTGTTCCAAGGCTTTTATTGAAAAACTTATCAGTGGGCTAGGCAACAGGAATGCATACATACACATGTTACATTAGCATGTAAAGTTTTACAGAGAATAGATACCTTTAAGAAAACAAGTGACAGGAGTTTACTGGTTCATATGGGTCCAAGAGGAGATCAGTCTAAACAAAAGAGAATGATGACAAAGGCAAGCACCTTAATGATAAAGGGTAAGGGGTGTAAATAATGTGAAGGTCCTTCGCAGCATGAGCTGACCAGAGATCTGAGGGAGGAACAGAGCTCATTCTAAGGAATTTATTTTTAGTTCTGATTACCCTGGCAACCACCAGATCTGATCTAGGGCTGTTTTTCCTGCACTGTTAGCCAGGCGCGGGGGAGGGAACCACCAAGGGATAAGGAGACTGCTTTTTGGCTGTAATGAGGACTCTGGCTGTGTCCAAGCCAAGCCGAGAGGTTCGGGGGCCTCTTTGCCCCTTCTCCGTGTCCCCCAATTTCTTATCTGCTGCCCTTATCGGCTCAGGCCTGTCTTAGGTTGCCCCTTCCCCGAGGGGTCTTACCCATCCTTGGCCAAGACCATCTCAAGGCAAAGCAGAGGGGCAGGGGCTCTGCCCCTACCCAGGGGAACAGGTCAAGTCGCCTCAGAAGCCTGTTTCTCCAAGGCCTCTGGATTATTTCAGCCCTGGGGCCCTCCAGCCCGTTGGCAGGGTTACAGCTCCTGAAACCAAGCCAGGCGTTTCCCAACATTTAAGCCTCCTAAGAACCCCATGAATAGGCACTATTATTATTATCATTTTAAAGATGGGGAAACTGAGGGATGGAAAAGTTTAGCTGTTCTGAGTCTATCAACATGGTAAATCACAACTTTCTGCTTCAAACCTAAACATTCTGGTTAAAATGAAATATTAAATATAAAAGAAAATATTGCTATAAAACCATATTTATAACTAGAATCCTCCAAGTAAAAGCAAGAGAAATTCTCAGGTGCTGGAAGTAAAGAAGGCTCAAGGCCAGAGCGGGCACACCAGACTTTTTATAGGTAAAACAAGCCCCACTGAAGGGAAGCTCTCAGTTTTTAAAAAATCATAAGCTACGCAAAGAATAATTAAAAGACACACACGGGGAAGAGTTTGTAGACACAATAAATAGGTGAATTGGTAGCCCTAAATAATAAGGAAAAATTGGAAAGACAGTACCAGTTTGTTTAAATGATGAGGGAGAAAAGTAAAGAAGAAAAACCATAATGAAAGAAGTAGATGCCATGAGAACACCTGAGGCTAAGTCTCTCACCCAAGGCGACAGGATTAGTCAGTGACAGACTCGGGCTCCCCACACTTGTGCTCGTACTAGCTGGGCTGCAGGTGCTGATGTAGGTGCAAACTGTCTACTGGACATCCCAGAACAGTATAAATTGGGTGTGAAGAGAGCGAGGGATTGCTGGGCTTCACCTCATTTCTCTCACACTACTCTCTGGTCCGCAGAGCTCCAGGACTGGGCGTGTCCGGCCAGCATGGCGACCGCCGCCTCCCCTCAGCCGCTGCTCACCACCGAGGTCACCAGCTCTGAGAACAGCAGCTCCTTCTATGACTACGAGTACTACCTGAACCTGGAGGCCTTCCTGCTCTGCAGGAAGGATGAGGTGCTGTCCTTCAGCAAAGCCTTCCTGCCAGTCTTCTACAGCCTGGTCTTCGTGCTGGGCCTGGGCGGGAACCTCCTTCTCCTAGTGGTCTTGCTCCGGTACGTGCCTCGCAGGCGGATGACAGAGGTCTATCTGCTGAACCTGGCTGTCTCCAACCTCCTGTTCGTGGTGACCCTGCCCTTCTGGGCCATTTCTGTGGCCTGGCATTGGGTCTTTGGGAGTTTTTTGTGCAAGACCGTGAGCATACTCTATACCATCAACCTCTACAGTGGCATCTTCTTCATTAGCTGCATGAGCCTGGACAAGTACCTGGAGATTGTCCACGCTCAGGCCCACCACAGGCTGCGGACCCGGTCCAAACGCTGGCTCCTTGTTGTCACGGTATGGGCTGTGGCCCTGGCTGTCTCCATCCCGGACATGATCTTTGTGCAGACACATGAAAACCCTTTGGGTGTATGGAAATGCTATCCGGATTTTGGGGGACACGGGACCTTCTGGAAGCTCCTTCTCCGCTTCCAGCAGAACACCTTGGGGTTTCTCATTCCTCTCCTCACCATGATCTTCTTCTACTCCCGCATCGGCTCTGTCCTGGTCAGGCTGAGGCCCCCAGGCAGGGGCCGGGCTCTAAAGATGGCCATAGCCCTCGTGCTGGCCTTCTTCCTGCTGTGGTTCCCCTACAACCTCACCTTGTTCCTGCACTCGCTGATGGACCTGAAAGTCTTATGGGACTGCAATGCCAGCAAGTACCTGGATTATGCGCTGCAGGTGACGGAGAGCATCGCCTTCCTTCACTGCTGCTTCACCCCTGTCCTCTACGCCTTTTCTACCCGCTGCTTTGGCCAGTACCTGAAGGCTTCCCTGGCCACTATGTTTGGACGGCACCAGGCCCCTTTCCCTCCCCAGGCCCGGCTGTCCAGCAGTTGTGAGAGGAGCAGCCTCACTGCCGAAGAAGAAATGACCAGCATGAATGACCTTGGGGAGAGGGAGGCTGAGGACTCCCCCAACAAGGGGAATGTGAGGGAAAATGAAGGCCACGTGGCCATGCCACGGTCTAGTGAGAGTGGATGGGACCCAGCTCAGTAGGGGATCCACCCAGAGTCTTCTCTCCAAGGGTCTCATTGATGATGTTGCTAAACCCAGTGGTCAATTTTCAGTTCTCAACCTTCAGCAGCGTCTGCCCACTCCTCCCCGGACATCGTACTCCCTGAGCCGCCGCAATAGTTGCCCAGCGGACCACTGTTTCCTAGTGTCATGTTCTCCTATCATCTATTGCAGAGGTCCCCAAACTTTCTGGAACCAGGGACCAGTTTCTGTAACTACCTCTTTGTATTTCTTCTTTTTAAAAAATTTTTAAAGTATATTTTATTGATTATGCTATTACAGTTGTCCCATTTTTTCCTCCCTTTTATCCCCCTTCTCCCTGCACCCCCCCACCCTCCAGCATTTCCCTCCCCTCACACAGTTCATGTCCATGGGTCATACATATGAGTTCTTTGGCTTCTCCATTTCCTATACTGTTCTTAACCTCCCTCCACCTATCTTGTGCTTACCATTTGTACTTCTTATTCCCTGCACCTTTTCCCCTCATTCTCCCCCTCTGCCTCCCCACTGATAACCCTCCATGTGATCTCCATTTCTGCGATTCTCTTCCTGTTCTAGCTGTTTGCTTCATTTTTATGTTTTTTAGGTGCAGTTGTTGATAGTTGTGAGTTTGTTGTCATTTTACTGTTCATAGTTTTTGATCTTCTTCTATTTCTTAGATAAGTCCCTTTAATATTTCATATAATAAAGGCTGGGTGATGAACTCCTTTACCTTTTCCTTATCTGGGAAGCCCTTTATCTGCCCTTCCATTCTAAATGGTAGCTTTGCTGGATGGAGTAATATTGGATGTAGGTCCTTGCCTTTCATGATTTTCAATACTTCTCTCCAGCCCCTTCTTGCCTGCAAGTTTTCTTGTGAGAAATCAGCTGATAGTCTTATGGGAACTCCTTTGTACTCTCTCCTTTTCTCTTGCTGCTTTTAAGATTCTCTCCTTATCTTTAATCTTGGGTAATTTAATTATGATGTATCTTGGCATGTGCTTTCTTGGGTCCAATTTCTGTCAGACTCTCTGAGCTTCCTTGACTTCCTGGAAGTCTATTTCCTTCACCAGATTGGGGAAATTTTCCTTCATTATTTTTTCAAATAAGTTTGCAATTTCTTGCTCTTCCTCTTCTTTTTCTGGCACCCCTATGATTCAGATGTTGGAACATTTAAAGTTGTCCCAGAGCTTCCTAAGCCTCTCCACATCTTTTTGAATTCTTGTTTCCTCATTCTGTTCTTGTTGGATGTTTACTTCTTCCTTTTGTTCCAAATCATTGATTTGAGTCCTGGTTTCCTTCCCTTCACTGTTGGTTCCCTGTCTATTTTGCTTTATTTCACTTTGTATAGCATTCATTTCTTCCTTCATTTTATGACTGAGCTCAATCAATTCTGCAAACATCCTGATCACTAGTGTTTTGAACTCTGCATCGGATAGCTTGTCTGTCTCCTCATTGCTCAGTTCTTTTCCTGGAGTTTTCATCTGGTCTTTGATTTGGGCCATATTTCTTTGTCTTGGTGCGCCTGTTACCTTGGAAGGGGCAGAGCCGTAGGTATCCGCCAGGGCGGCGCAGCCCACATCGCTGCATTGTGGTGCTGGCTGTGGGGGAGGGGTCCGAGAGGGGACCATGCCCCTCACTCGGCTCTCACCCCACTTTCTGCCACTTCCTTCACTTCCCACAAGCAAATTGTGCCCTTTCAGGTGCTGATTTCCAGGTAGGTGGGTTTGTGTACATTCTAGGACCCTGTGGGTCTCTTCAATGGACTCTCTTCTGAGACTGGGAGTTTCTCCCACTGCTGCGACCCCCACAGATTTTTACAGCAAGGGATTTTGAGTCTTTAGTTTCCTGCACTGGAAACTAAAAGCCTGGGTTGCACGGTCTGTCTCACTCACCCATTGTTTTCCTGGCTTATCCGCAGGTGAATGTGGGATCTGCCCACCCCAGTCCTCCAGCCACCACCTTGCCGTGCATCCTCTCTGTCCCCACCCCCGTCTCTGCCCCTCCTACCAGGCCAGATGAATATTTCTTTAACTTCTTCATTGTTGGACTTCATGCAGTATGATTTTCTGGAAGTTATGGTTGTCTATTGTTTTTAAAATTGGTTGTTATCCTTCTTTTGGTTGGACGAGGAAGAGAAGCATCACTAACTATGCCTCCATCTTGGCTGGATCCTCTACTTCTTTGTACTTTTTAATTCCCTTACCCCTTCCTGCATTCCCCCACACTCCCATCTGGCAACCATCAAAAAGCTCTCTGTATCCATGATTCTGTCTCTGTTCTTCTTGTTTGCTTACTTTGATCTTGAGATTCAATTGTTGATACATATGTATTTTTTGCCATTTTATTGTTCACAGTTTTGATCTTTTTTTTCTTAAAAAGTCCATTTAACATTTCATATAGTAATGGTTTGGTGATGATGAACTCCTTTAGCTGTTTCTTGTCTGGGAAGCTCTTTATCTATCCTTCGATTCTAAATGATGGCTTTGCTGCATAGAGCAATCTTGGCTGTAGGTCCCTGCTTTTCATGACTTTGAATAATTATTGCCAATCCCATCTAACCTGCCATTTCTTTTGAGAAATCAGCTGACAGTCTTATGGGTGCTCCCCTGTACGTAACTAACTGCTTTTTTCTTGCCGCATTTAAGATTCTTTTTTTCTTTAACCTATGGTGTTTTAATTATGATGTGTCTTGGAGTGGGCCTCTTTGCATCCATCTTGTTTGGGACTCTCCATGCTCCCTGGACTTGCATGTCTATTTCCTTCATCAAATCAGGGAAGTTTTCTTTCATTATTCTTTCAAATATATTCCTAATTTCTTGCTCTTTCTCTTCTCTTATGGCACCCCTATGATGCAAGTGTTGGACCTCTTAAAGTTGACCTGGAAGATGCTTATAGTACCCTCATTTTTTTGGATTCCTTTCTCTTCTTGTTGATTTGATTGCTTGTTTTTTGCTTCCTTATGTTCCAAATCATTGATTTGATTCTCAGCTTCATCCACTCTACTGGTGTTTCCCTGTAAATTGTTCTGTATTTCAATTAGTGTGCCCTTTGTTTCTGGCTGGATCTTTTTTTCTGCTGCTGAGGTCCTCACTTAGTTCCTTGAGCATCCTTATAACCATTGTTTTGAACTCTGCATGTGATAGATTGCTTATCTCCATTTCTTTTAACTCTTTTTCTGGAGTTTTCACCTGTTCTTTCTTTTGTGCCATGTTTCTTTGTCTCCTGGTTTTAGCAGCCTCCGTGTGTTTCTTTCTATGTATTAGGTGGAGCTGCTTTGACTCTGTGTCGTGGTAGTGTGGCCTCATGTAGTAGGTGTCCTGTAGGGTCCAGTGGCACAGCCACCCCTATCACCCAAGCTGGGTGCTCAAGGTGTGCCCTTTGTGTGGGCTAAGTACCCCCTCCTCTGGTAGTTGAGCCTTGGTTGCTGTTGGCAGATCAATGGGAGAGATTTACCCAGGCCAGTCAGCTGCAAGGACTGGCTGTGACCACTGCCCACCAACCTCTGCCCTCCGTGGAAGATCAGCTGTGCAAGGGGCAGGGTGGTGGTGCTCTGACGTGGTCTGTAGCTGTCCACCGGGTGTGCTGGCCCTGGGGTTTTCCTGGTCATGCAGGCCAAGGTCAGCCCCACCTGTGTTTTGCCCCGGGCCGCCCAGTCTCAGCTATAAAGCAATCTGATGGTTCAGATTCAACTTGATCTGATGGTTCTGAGTGATGGTTGTTCTATAGTTTAGTTGTAACTTTGATGTGGGGCAGGGGACGGGGGCGGGGGGGTCTGCCCTGTCCACCGATTCCGCCATCTTGATTGGAAAGCTTTGTACAGCCATTTCAATATGGAAGATGGAAGAAAATAAACAACACTTTTGATGCATTAAGCTTTATTATTTCAAGAAAGATAAAAACATGACTGAGATGCAAAAAAAGATTTGTGCAGTGTATGGAAAAGGTGCTATGACTGATCGAACATTTCAAAAGTGGTTTTGAAGTTTCTTGGAACTATTGTTCTGGCCAAATAATTCTTTGCTATGGGCTGTCTTAGGCATTGGGAGATGTTTAGCCACACCGTTGGCTTCTACCCACTAGAAGCCAAGAGCAGGAGATAGTTGACCTAAATATCCAAATCAATAAAGTTATTGGTAAAAATGAAACATGTGTCTTATTTTATGGAAAAAAAAAACCCCTGGAGTTTTTGGCCAACCCAGTCCCCTGCATCCAACAGCCAGAGTGATCATAGCACCCTCAGCCTTCACTCCCATCTTCAGAGAAACCCGAGGCCTGCCCCACACTAGACTGCGCCCATCCCTGCAGTTCGCCTGGGGGAATATTGTTATTTTAATACTGCAGCCTTGGTGGTGGTTCCAGGGTCTGGCCACCAGGAGGCGCTTGTGATATACCTCCTGGGGAACTGCCTGGGATGCAGGGCAGGCAGGGCTCTGCCCCTGTGAAGTGTGGTTGGAGCGTTCAGGGCCAGTTACTGCCTAGGAAAACATCTCTTTTCTTCACCACATGCTGGGAATTCCGCCATTGGCATGTCATCCCTGACTTGCTTTGTTTCAAGCGATCCACAGAGAATACACATGGTGGGCTTTTCTCTGAGGGAGAGAAAATTCGTTCAGAAATGAGGGATTGTGGACAGAACGGCTGGGTCAGGACAGGGAGCGGCTGGACCCATCCCTGAGAGTCTCAGTCTTCCTACTGCCTTGAGGCCCTGGCCCGGGAAGGAAAGGTGTCCTTGTAGAGGGTGTCTCCAGCAGTCCCCATGCAGGGCCCTAGGACAGCAGATGCCCGTGGTGGGCATTGGCCTCTACGTCTCACTCCAATTCTGGGTACTCACGGCTTCCTGGGAGGCCTGTTGTCATGGTGAACATCCTCGGCTATGGGATGGGACACTTGTATTCACCCCATACCTGACCCACCAAGGCTCCCCTGGGTCCTATTTACACCTTCAGATCAATCACAGGCCCCTCGAAGCTTGCTCTCAGCTGAGACCCCTTGGCCCGGATTCAGTGGACGTGGCCGCCAGCCCTTCCCCACCAGCCTGTCCACAGGCCAGCCTCCTGGTCCACATTCCTTTGGGTGAGGGGGAAAGGACAGCATGCAACGCCAGGCCTGGGCAGGGCCAAGGAGGTATGTGAAGGCCTCGCCTCTTCGCTCCATCTAGCAGCTGCCCTGGCTCAGGGCCTGGCTCTGTGGGCAGGTGGCTGGGAAGCTCCCCATGGATGGCCCCCAGCCTCCCAGCCCCCTTCTCCCTCTAGTGTGCTCCCTACTCACTCCTCCTTGTGCTCCTGGACCCTTGTGGAATAGGATGGGACATCCTGTCTTCTCCTAACCAGTCGAACCACTATCAGGCTCCAGGCAGATGCCTGGGCGTATGTTCTCAACCCAGGCCTATTATTCTGGCAAAACTTGGGGCAGAACAGGCAACCTCAACAGAGAGGAAAAGGGCAGTCAGAGATTTAGGATAGGAGTAGCAGAGAGAAGTCCCAGTGGGTAGTCTTTGCAGGGAGTCCATGCTGCCGGGACCCCTACGCTGGCTGGGCTGCCGCAGTCCCAGCCCCAGCCAGGGCCCTGCCCTCGGCCCGCAGCAGTGCTGTGTCACACTCTCCCAGCGCTAGTAAGCATGCCTGGCAACAGGGGCGTCTGTAGTTCATGTGACTGAAAGCTGAGGGCGGGCGGGGAGGGGAAGGAAATGATCTGAGGACATAAAGTAGACTAGCTGAGACTGGAAGTCTGGTTTCTGTAATTTAATCTGCATCTGGGGAACTGGGGTTCAGAGCTGAAGGAATAAGGTTCCAAGCCCTACGGGCTCCAATGGCTCCAGTGTGGGGAAGGGGCAGGAGGAGGGAACCAGGACAGGGAGTAAGGACACACAACAGCGGTGCTGTGATACAGAAGGCGTTAGGGGAGCCCAGGAGCAGGAGGCCAGAGGATGGAACGGGCGGATCCAGGAGGCTTTCAGGAGTAGCTGGCACCAGGGTTGGCAGGAAACGCAAGCAACCCTGCTTTACAGAGAGTTCCGCTGGGAAAGGCCGGAAAAGCGCAATTGCACTGGGTGGAAAATTTGGGGCCGGCTGTGGCAAATCTTAAACGTCAGGCAAATCTTAAATGAAGGGAATGGGAAGCCAGAAAATAAAGTAGTGCCCATTAGAGGTGCTTTTGGAAAGCGGTCTCTGGCCGAGAGGGGCAGAGAGACGCGCCTGAATGGCTCCTCCAGGAACAGCAGCGTATCTCTAGACCTGCTGCCCCCTAGGGTGGCGCTGCCCCTGGCCCCACGGGGCTGTTGAGCACTGGGCATGTGGCTGGCTTGAATCCAGACACGCTGCGGGGGTCAAAAGTCAACGCCAGATTTTTGAACACACAATATAAGATTCAGAGGATGCATTATAGAATTGTACACCTGAAACCTATATAATTTTTTGAACTAATGTCATCCTGAAAATTCAAATTTTTAAAAAAGCATATACCAGATTTTGCAGGCAACACTGAAAAAGAAATGTAAAATATTTTGTATATTGATTACCCGCTGAAATGCTAATATTTTGGCTATGTGGGGGTAAATAAACTATATTATAAAAAATGAATTTTACTTGTTTCTTTTGCCTTAAAACATGTCAACTAAGAAATTCATTAAAAATTACCCATGTGGCTTGCCTTATATTGCTACTGAGCACCACTGTGTTTAGAATGTAACTTCCAGAAGACGTGGAATAGGATTGAGAAAAATATAAAGTCGGGGGGCAGTGGGGACTCACAGTCGGGAGATGCCGCGCTGTTGGCGATGACCGGCTTCTGCGTTGCAGGTGCGGCCGAGGCACGTTATCTCCCAAACTGAGCTGCCCCGATGCTCGGTCCCCACCCTGGGGTTTCCTGGGAAAGGAGGATTCTGCCGAACGCACAGTCAGAGACGGGGTTTTAAAGAGAGAATGATGAATGAGCCTGCGAGGTGCCCAGAACTAGGCCAGAGAGCAAGGAGGACCGCCAGGACAGAGGTAGAGAAAGGGTGCCATGGAGCCACCAGGAGCAGGAGTTGGGAGGGGTCTGGGGCTTCAGAGGGCCAAGAGCAGGGGGAGGCCCCCAGGGTGCCCCTCTGGCCAGTCTTGCGGCCCCCTTGGCCGCACTCACTCAGGAGACCGCAGGCGGTATCGGAAGACCACGTCGTAGGTGGGCTGTGTGGTGCCAAAGCCCCAGCGCTGGGGGTCCACGGGCGGCACAGGCGTGTCAGGGTCCACCAGCTCCAGGTCGAAGTATGTGATCATGAGCAGGACGAAGAGCTTCATCTCACTCAGGGCCAAGAACCTCCCGGGGCACATGGAGACCCCCGAGCCCCACGGCATGGTGTAGTGGTGGATCTTCTTGCCTGCCTTGTAGAAGTCCACTTTTCGGCTGCCATCGGGGTTGAGGAAGCGGTTGTACTTGAAGGTGGTGGGCTCGGGGTGGATGTCAGGGTCCATGTGCACTGAGAGGTAAGGGAAGAGGGCCACGATGTCTCTGCTGCGGAGCTGGTACTTCTCCCCGCTGGCCATCTGTAGGGTATGGTCGCCGTTCACCACCCGGAGGAGGGTGGGCGCTGCCCGCAGCCGCAGTGTCTCCTCCATCACGCTGTCCAGCACTGGGGTGCGGTGCAGGGCATCAACCTCCAAGTCAAAAGACTGCCCGGGTTCCAGCCTGGCCTCCCCCAGGACCTGGGCAGCCTCTGCTCTCAATGCCTGCATGGCTTCTGGGTGCTTCAGGAGGAACAAGAGGGCCCAGAAAGAGGTAGGCCCCGTGTTCCCCTGCGAGGCCCAGAGCATCATGAAGTTGAACTTGTCCTGCATGGCCGGGGCGACTCCCTGCTCCCTCAGAAACTGAAGCATGTAGGCTACCCAGTTGCTTATCCCGTCCTTCTCCAGGTTGTCTTTCACAGAGAGGGTCTTGTGAAAGAGGCGCTGGAGCCGGCCCACTTCCAGCCACTCCCGGGGCCACAGCAAGGAATAAACAAACCTGGGGAACAGGCGGTCAAACTTGCGGAACTGCACAAATAACTCCTCTGCCTGTAGCAGGTCCTGCTCCGTGTCCTTCGTGCAGCCAAACAAGCTCAGATAGCCAGCCTTGAACAAGGCGCTGTAGCAGAAGTGAAAGAGGCCATCCTCTTGCCAGCTCCTTGCATCCGGGCGCTGGCCCATGGGCCCCAGTGTGACCAAGGACAGGCAGTCCCGCATGGTTTTGTTGAGATCCTCCAAACCGTCACCCATGAGGTGCTTGGTGCTGGCTGAGTGTATCATCCGGTGGTCTCCCGGCCCGGACTGGTACCCAAATACTTTTAGCACCAGTTTTTCTGCATACTCCACAAAGTCTAGTTTCCTCTTCACATCCTTGAGGATGGGGCCAAAGGAGAGGGGGTCCATGAGAAAGGTGAAGTACTGGCCCCCGAGCTGCACTGTGAACACGTCCCCATGCTTGGCCTGCATGTGCTTCAGGAATTCAAACATATTCCTCCGGAACGCCATGGCGTGGCCCAGCCAGGGCACAGAGCCTTTATCCAGAGGGGGCTCCTGGGGCCTGCGCTGCCGGAGCAGCCCCGGCAGGCACAGGTACCCCACAAGGGCCACCAGCAGGGCTCCCAGCACCGGAACCCAGAGCACCATGGCTGTGCTCTCCCAGATTAAGATCTGGACACGCTGCTCTCTGGGGGCCAGAGAGCTGTTGGGAGGCCTTGAAAAGTTGGCAATGGAAACGTCTGCCCGCCTGGACCTTGTCCTGTGCCTGCGAGATAATAAATAGCCCTGGCAAAACAGCACGTAGGAGTGAAATCAGCACTTGCTAGAGCCTGATCCTGTGGGAGGAAGAGGCGGGGCCAGACAAAGCCTCTGGTTTATGGTACCAGCCTCCTTGCTAGCCTCACGCTTTGCTCCAGCCTTTTCAGACTCAGCGCCAGCATTTTCGCTACAAAACCATTCTTGCCCTCACTTTCACCCCTGTGGCTTGCTGACCACTGACAACTTTATTTACTCATGTGCAATGAATAAAGCGATGACTCGCTGATTTGATATCTGATTGATCAGAAACGCACCAAGCATTCAGTTTCACATCCACCCTTTCTTCATGTGACCAGACTCTGAGCCTCTGGCCGTGGGCACTGCCACTGGCCCCAGAGGCTTGCACACTTCTCTACCAAAGACAGACGGAAAGTCTCGAAACTATGAAGTTCCAGGAACCTGGAGATTTCAAACAAATGGCTTTATTTCACAATAAAGTTCTAGTGTAATGGGGACTTTGACGGCTGCCCTGGCTGATGTGGGTTGAGTTGACTGTTTACTCAGGGCCTCTGTGACATGTCAGGTCAGGTCCCGAAAAGAAATCTGTGCCATTGACTCTGAGGTTTTAGTCAAGCAGCCTAGCCCGTTGTTGCAATAGGTGAAATTCAGACTCAATTCAACCACCTCTGTTCACCCCCACAAGTGACTAACTTTCTAAATGACCTGCAAACAGGGACTCTGTCTCCTCAGATAACCATAGGATTTCCTCATGTCCTCTGGAGTGAGTTCCCTTTCCCTTGTGCAGCTCGTCTCTATAGGAGCTGGAAATACCCACATTGCCTCCGTGAAGTCCTCTCTGATTGCTTAGGGCACAGCAAGTACTCAGCACCATTAACTCTCTCTAGCCTTAGGATCCAGTAGGAATCTGTGGGCCAGCTCCAATGAGCTGAACTTTGTCCCCCAGTTTTTAACAGGTGGCAGCACTACCTTACATTCATTCTCACCTTTATTCATTCAGTTACTCACACCCACTCATTCATTCATTCCCTCCTTCCTTGGAACAGCCCCACCTATCCATTCAATAGATATTTACTGGCCACTCACTGCCAGAAATTTTGCTCCAACCTCAATGAGATAGTCGCAGACCCTGCCCTCTTAGTTTATGGGCTAAGGAAGGGGAAAAGATATTAAGTCATTGCCCAGAGAACTGTGTAATTCCAATTGTGTTACATGCTGCCAAAGGGAAGAGCAGAGCGGGAAGGGAGTGGGGAGTCAGAAGACTCCACTAATCCGGTGGTAATTAAGTGAAGGCCTGGAGAATGCTGTGGAGAGCAGGACCGACAGAATAGCATTGGTCCGATCAGGACAGCATAAAGCACATAAAACAAAGTGGAGTCACTCATGCCAACCAAGATGGCTGCCAGTCAGCCATGACCCTTTGGTTCAAGAGGAAAACTACCTAAGTCAGAGTAGACACATTGGGCAAGGAGATACACCTAAGATATCTGCACACATGACCAGAATAGCTGTGTCTGCAGTGTGAGACCACCCATAGATGAGCTCCCAGGGAAATTCCACATTTGGCATTAGGGGCACTAAGATACTTATCAAAAGACCCAGAAGGGTGGAGTACACCACTCTCAAGGTATAACTAAGGCAGGCTCCAGACCACTGCCAAGACAGCCAAGCTCTACACCCCAGAGCGCGGCTCCACGCCACACTGATCTCTGTTGGCATTGGCTGTGGGAGGCTCTGCTCTGCTGGGCTGAGGACTTCGCCTGCCCCGCTGCCCACCTGGCTCCAGATATCGTTTCTTGCAAGACGCCAACAACTCCCTTGCCCACCCTGCTGTCTCCTGGACCTGCAGACTGAGACTCTGGGACTCAGGTTCCTTCTTGCCCATTGATTGCTCTGTGTATTCTATTTCTCTTAGATTGTTAGAGTGTGAGTAGGACATTAATGCATGTTGATGTCCTACTTTGAGTGAACTTGCATTCAATACAAGTTGAGTGAATAGCATAGTTACTGTGTGTGACTCTTGTCTACTCCTTCATGCTGGGCTGCTCAGCAGGCAGCTAGCTAAGCAGTTGTCCAGCTAACTTAAAGAGAAGAGTGTATTACAAACATACGCTACTGACAAATGTCAAGGCCAGATCAATGCGTGTTGTGCGTGGTGGTGGTGCTGCTGGAAGTGGGCTGTGCAGCTCAAAGCATGTGGCAGAGTTGTCCTAAGACACAAGGGTGCACATGCACTCAGGCCAATGTGGCTGCAGGGCTGAGGGGAAGAGCTTCCAGCAGGGAGCGCCCCGCAGGCTCAGTGCGGACTGGCGCTTTGATCCATCCCGCTTCACTGAATTCACCCTCTCACACCAGCCCGACCTGCTTCACTGAATTCACCCTCTCACACCAGCCCGACCTGCCACCCCTGGTGTCTGGATCCAGCCCCTCATGGGCAGCAGGGTGGACCCTCAGTGCTTACTGGCACTTTCGTGGGCGGAGGCTGGCCTGCCCCAGGGAAATTGGCCCACGTATCTGCCTTCCCGGCCCTCCCAACCCTCCCAACCCTCCCAAAGGGACCACGGCCAGCGATCCCAAGCGAGCAGGGCGAAGCCGCGACACGCCCCTGATTCCACCCTTCCACGGCAGTTCCGCGGATGGGTGCGGGCGAGGTTTAGACTCCAGGCAGCCGGATGGCCTGGGGGGACCAACGACACGCAGAGGCGGCCTCCGGGCGCGCTAGAGCGGCCGCGGGCCCGAGAGCAGGAAAAGCGGCCACGCTTGCGCGGCGGCATCCCCGGGCTCCCGCTGCGGGCGATCCTCAGTGCCGAGGCGCTCTCTGCTGGTCGGTCCTCGGGGGTTTGCGCCGACTCGCAGAATGTGTGTCATCCCACACATCCTCCCAGAGCCTCCCACAGCCAATGCCAACAGAGATCAGTGTGGCGTGGAGCCGCACTCTGGGGTGTAGAGCTTGGCTGTCTTGGCAGTGGTCTGGAGCCTGCCTTAGTTATACCTTGAGAGTGGTGTACTCCACCCTTCTGGGTCTTTTGATAAGTATCTTAGTGCCCCTAATGCCAAATGTGGAATTTCCCTGGGAGCTCGCCTGCCGACTCGCCTGCAGAGCAATCAGTAAAGGAGCGGGGTTGGGGCTCGAGAAGGACGGGCGCAAGGGGTGCCTCCTTCCCGCCTGTCACCGCTGTTTCTAACATGCGCGCTGAGCGAAGGCACCGCTTGGGGACTGTCATCTCATAGGCCCCGTGGGAGCCTCGTTTTGTTGTCCTTCAGCATTGTGTGTGTGTGTGTGTGTGTGCGCGTGTGTGCGCGTGCTTGCTTTTCTCTTTTCGCCTCATTTGCACGTTCCATGGTAGGCCGTGGGGTAGGTTGAGTTCTCTAGACAGGGCTCAAGCGGGTCTCTGGTCTCGTCTGCTCTCCTCTTCTCAATCCATGTATTGCCCCGGATTTTGAGCAACTGGGCAACGACCACGGAGAGGGTTCTCTTGACCTGTTGTGGTTCCTATATTGGGGTTCTCTGTGGGTTCTGTAGTCGAGGTGCACCGCTTGTGCCCAGTCTTTTTTGCCCTTTGTTCCAATTCTAGATGATATTGACAGCGCCCCCCCCAACCCCACCGCTCCGCCCAGTGCCTGCCCCTTCTGCCCACTGCCTCCCCCCCAAGATGCAACAAAGATACCACTGAAATAAGTGGAGATGGAGGGGAGAATTATTTCACTCTGCCTTTAGACCTGGTGATAGTCTCATTTCACTTGGGGATGGGCTTATTTATGGTCCCTTTACCTTCCTAGCTTTCAAGGTTCCTTCTTTTTTTTTTTTTTTTTTCTCCAGAAATTGAAGGAAACTCCTTTATGGCAGCTGGGCTCTTGACAATCTGGCCCAAGGTTAACAATCTTCTAGTCAGCATCACATATACCCGTGTTAACCTAAAAATAAAAGCCAAAGTGAGAGGCAGCAAGTGTTTATCTGAGATCAAAGAACAGCTACTTGGGAAACACTGATTCTGGCGGAAACCCAAATAGTGTTCCAGTTACGGCATAAGGGGAGGGGGAATAATGACGTGAATAGAAGTGACTGAATGTACAAATGGATAATGGTCAGAACATACAGAAGAATAGAACCCTGACCTTCAATCTTCAGCAACCAGTTCAGGAAGCCAAAATAACCCCTGTAGCCCGAAACAGTCAGAATTTGCTAAATATGCTCCTTTGGCCAGTTACATAAGATGTTTTGCTTCGCGCTAACTCTCATGCCAACACTCTCCAATCACAGCACACCTGAAGCCCTCCCTTTTTCTGCTATAAACCTTTCCCACTTCCCTGCCTTTGAGACTTTGAGACTCATCCAGATGTAAGTAAGTGACTATGGCTGACTCCCTTGCTATAATAAACTCTGAATAAATAGTGTTTGCTTGTTCTCATATGGGTGGTCTCTGTTTATTTCCACAACTCTTTTCTAAAAGTTTAACTTCTTGACATGCTGTGTGATGCTGGGTAAGCCATTTCCTCTCTTTGGGCCTTATTTTCTTCAACTGTAAAAATTTGTTCTATTCAACAAATATTCCTTGGCACTTAAAGAATTTTGGCCCTAAGAGGTGCTAGACGTTGGGCGGATATTAGAGGCACAAAGGCGAAAAATGTCAAGGGAGCAGTCTGTTCTCTGGGAATGTAAAACCTGGTAAGGGCAGGCAGATACATGAAAAGGCCTAGTCAAGTGAAGTATGCACCGCCCTCTGACAGCATCCACGTACCAAGGGTGCAGCGAAGTGGAGAACGGTGATCAGTGCGAAGAGGGCGGAGACAGGATTCCCAGAGGCAGCCTCCCCGCGGGCTGCCAGCTCTCCCACATACACCCCATCCCGGCAGCGGCGCCCGGGGCAGTGGGTGTTTCAGGGAGAGCTGGACCCCTCTCCCCTCCCTCCTTTGCAAGGAAGAGAGGAGGACCACAGAGATGGGCCGCCTTCCGTCGTCCTAGACAAGCCGGAATGGCACGAGTGCCGCAGCCTCCACCTCTCCGGTGCGCAGCCCTGGCTCGCGCGGAGCGTGCGGGGCTGGGCGTGGGGCTGGCACGGCTGGCAGGAGCCCCGAGCGCGAGGCCGCTATGTCAGGTCCGCCCGGGTCCGGATCGTCCCTTACTGACCCTGAGCAGCCCGCGGGAGTGCCCGGCGCACGTTCACTTCCCCGATGGGTGTCCGAGACCAGGGCTAGCCGGGCGCGCTTGGTCCCTGCACTCAAGCGGCTGCCGGGACAGCCCGCGCCGGCCGGGACGCGCCCGGTGAGTGCGGCGCCGGCACCACGAAGCTGGCTCGGTTCTGCCCTGGGCTCTAGGCTCCGAGTAGGGATGGAAAGGAGGCTGTGCGGCAACCGGCAGATGGGTACATCCCAGAGTGGAGGGCGCGGAGGAACAGGCAGGGGGCAGAATGTGACCCCCCGCAGACTGACGCCTGGGGGAGCACACGTGCAGCTGCAGGGCCTGAGCCACGTGCTGCGGCAGAGCGGTTCACAGCCTGTGCTCGATGACACTGGTTTGAAGAGCTGGTTATGTTTGAGGTGGGTCTTGCAATGAACGTGAGTTTGCAGGCTCAGGAGGGAGGAACTGGGTCTTCAGGCAGGGGAGCGGCAGGTGCCAGGGCACAGACCCGGGCAAAGAGAGGGGTCGGCTACACCACAGGATGGTGACAGGATAGAGGATAAGGGTGGTAGCCCAGGAGACGGTCCTTGGCAGGTAAACTGGGCCCCTGAATAGTGAATGGAATTGTTTGTGGTGCCGAGGATTTGGACGTTCTGAGGCAGCGAAGGTGAGCCAGCCAAAAGCCTTTGAGTCCCCGAGTGCAGGGTCAGTCGCTGTGGGGACCTTATAAGGCAAGAGCTGACATGAAATGGACCAGGACGTGTGCCCCCATAGTGTGGAGATCACTATCCTGATTGAGGCAGTGGTTGGGAATGGTAACGAAATTCTGATGGCTTTAAATTAGTGCTGTTGTGTTTCTTAAGAAGGTAAGAGAGAAAGGAAAGAAAAGGTGCAGGAGCTCTGGCTCCCCGAGATACGGAAAAAGGGGGCATTGAGACCCGCATGTGGGGGAGAAAAAGCGGGTGGGGTGTTTTAGAGGGTGTGTTGGGGGTGGGGGTGCAGAGAGTAGAGTCAGAGTTTGAGTCTGTTCTGTTGAGTGGTTTCCAGAGCAACCTGAGTGTTCCGCGGGGGCCCTCAGCTGCCTCTGTGGCTGGTGGAGGGAGAGAAGAAAAAGGGACCTACATAGCGGCAGAAGGGGTGGCAGGAGCAAGGACAGAATGCATTGTGGCCATAGTAGGTAAGAGCCAGAGAGGCGAACAGGCTGGAGTCCTGCCTCAGTTCTATGTCTTTGAGAGAAGTTACTCTCTGAGCCTTGGTTTCCTCTTCCATAAAGTGGATCAAATACCCTCGTAGGTCATGAGATATACACAAGGTGATAGACGTGAAGTGCTTCGCGCAGGCACAATGAATGGTGGTGGCTCTGGTTGAGGGTTGGTGGCCTCGGAAGGAGGACTCGATGTGGAGAAAGGATGGCGCCTAGAGCACAGACCGTGGTTTCTGGCACAGAGGTGAAAAGGGCAAACCGGCACAGACTCATGAAAAAGATGAGAGGAGGTTAGCTGACGTGAAGTTGAAGAGACATGAGAATAACAGTCGATTGCTTTTATCTTTGTAAGTGGGGGGCAAAACCTGCTGACAGTCCCTTTAGACATTCGGAACCAGAAGCTCACCCAGCATCCCCTGCGGTACCTCTTTATGCCTGGTCTACCCCTCACTCCAGGCCCGGGCCCGGGGACGGTCCCAGGGCATTTAAACACATGTTGTTTCAGGGCACAGTGACTTTCGAAGATGTGGCCGTGTACTTCTCTGAGAACGAATGGACCTGCCTGGCCCCCACTCAGAGGGCCCTGTACAGGGACGTGATGCTGGAGAATTACGGGGCTGTGGCTTCCCTGGGTAAGGGGCTTTCCCCTTGGGCTCTGCCTCAGCCCTTCAGAATTTCCTGGTTCCTTCTTCCTCAGAGGCTCAGGCGTCTTCGAGAACCTTCTTCGGCTGAGCAGCAACTTCAGGCTCTTGGATTCTTAATGGCCCGACCTCAGTGCTTCCTGGGAAGTGAACCTGGTATCCATTCGGGCCTCGCATAGGACCTCCTTGCCCCAGGGCCAGAGCAACCCGCCCCCGAACCCCTGTGCTGTGGATATCATGAGGAGAGGCCAGATTCCGGTTGCCCCTCCGAGCCCTCAGTTTGGGAGACCCAGCCCCCAACCAACCTGGCCATGCAGATGTCTGAGCCTGAGAGCTCTAAGAGAGGGCGAGACCCAGAAAGCTCAGTTCTTCCCTGCGTGAAATCGCCCATGTGCTCACTCACACTGTCATTGCGCATCTCGTACTCCGTCTGCTTCCTGACTTTCGGAAGCCTCTGCCCCCTCTGCCCTGGGTGTCCTTTCTTGTTCTCCCTAGTACTGTCCCTTCGTTCCCTCCTGCCCCTGGAGACACTGGCCTGGGAGGAGCCCCGGGGTTACTCTGTGTCCGCCCACTCACCTGCCTTTCCCATTTCCTTCCTGTCAAGCGGCATTTCCGTTCCCCACACCGGCTCTGATTTCCCAGCTGGAGCGAGGGGAGGCGCCCTGCGGCTCGGCCCCTCGGGGAGCTCTGGATGGAGAGGGCCCGAGGGGCAAGTCCTCAGGTGAGTGAGGACACCTGTGTCAGTCATCTGACCGGGTCGCTTGTCTCGATCTTTACATTCTAATAGGTATGTGTTCCCTTAACCGAGCACTGTTGACACGCATGGAATTACTCTTTGTCCTCTGTCCCCATGGTTTCCCGTCTTCTTGTTTTATTCATCCTGGCTCCCCTGGTGCCATCTTCATTCACCTGCTTTTTCTCTTCATCTCTGCAGTTCTTACCATGGCTGCCATGTATCTTTACCCCTTGGTTTTTCTGTTATTCTGATCTGAGGTGGCCTTTCTATTTGCCGGGCCTGCTTATAATCCCCAGCAGGAAGATTCTGACCGCCCTTTGGGGTATCATGGCCATCTTTATCAAGAAGTTCCAATAGCCTTGGTCAGTGTGGCTCCGTTCGTTGGAGCGTTGTCCCATAACTGAAAGGTTACAGGTTCGATTCCCGGTCAGGGCACATACCTAGGTTGCTGGTTCAATCCCCGGTCAGCGTGGACCATATGCGTGGATCCCCAGTCTGGGAGGGGATGTGAGGCAACCAATCGATGTTTCTCTCTCACATATATGTTTCTCTCTCTTCCTTCTTCTTTCTCTAAAGGCTGTGGAAAAAAAATGTCTTCTAGTGAGGATATTAAAAAAAGAAGTTTCAATAACTGTGAACCAAATGGTTCCTATTTTCAGTGATTTCCAGTGGGGAAAGCTCTGGCATTCCTTTAGGCCCAAAAAGGGTTTTGCTCTTCGTAATTTCTCAGCAAGAACTCTGTCCCCTTATTGCCTCACCGGCCGCATTCCATCTTCTTCCCACAGGGACGTTTTTGTGGTCACAGTGGGACTTGAACTCTGCCCTCAGCTTCTCCATTCTCACAGTTCCTTGCAGTGTCTGTCAGTCTTTCCATGTTAAGAAACTCGCCGTTCAAACGGGCTTAAACAGTAAGGAGGCATTTATTGTTTCCTGTAACTGGGAAGCCCGTAGGTAGAGTGGGCTACAGGTCGTTTGACTGGAATTCCCATCTCTGCTCTTCTCCCTCGCCTTGCATGCTGGCTCTGCCTACAGTCCGGCTCCTCCATGGCTGTCAGGTGATTGGCAGCTGTGAATCATACCCCGGGGAGAAGCAGGGTGGGCCTTCTTCAGACTTTAACCCCTGCTGAGCAGTCCCGCGTATTGCTCCAGTGAACCACCTTAAGTCTTATGCCAGCTCTCAATCAATCACTGTGGCCAGGGAAATGCTGTGTGCCGCCGATCGACGAGGCCCGGACTGCTGATCCCTGAACTGATCTCTCAGGCACTGAGTGGCTTTGCTGGTTAGCTTTGGGGGCGGGGGGGGGGGCGCCACACTAGGATCTGGAGCTGGGAACATTCCCACCCAAAGGGCTCGGCTACTCCATGATGGGGGAGGGGTGGAATGGATGCAGGGGATAACCGCAGCGCGCTCTGCCTTCTCGGGTTCTCTGTGCCTGCCCTCCCTGCCACCCAAGGGAATGAATGTCCCATCTTAGCTTTAGGCAGAAAGCCAACAGCTAAGTTATTCCTCACGCCAAACCCTAACTCCCCGACCTGCCGCAGACCTTGGAGCACATGCTCCTACTTCAAGTCCACTTTTGTCTCAGAGAAGAGACTACCTGCGGAACGCATAGTTCTTGGCTTAAAGCAACATCGGAAGGTTGTCATTTGGAAGGCGTAGAGTTGATTGGTTTCTTAGGAGGCCTCAGATGGGAGTTACAAAGAGACATCTCTGAGCTAAGCCCAGAGAATAGTTTATTAGAGTGGACCTTTGTGATTATAGGTGGCTGTCATTAGAGTAAGAAGGGGCTTCTGGACATGGCTGCGTGGGGCTGTGAGGCCATTTTTTATGGGTGCTATAGACAGACCCACCATCGATCCTTTGGGGAAGGAGACAGCCATAGGGAGCTGGATCGGAAGGCGGGAAACTAGGAGGTCGCGGTTTCCTGGCATAGGCTCCAGAGCAGCTCTTTGCACGTCCACCCTACCCTGCTCCTTCCTTAGGTGCAGGACAGAAGAGACCTTAGTCTGCAGTAGGCACCTTAGTCTTTCCTATTTTTCTTGACCTTTTAAAGCGAATGATCCATTTTTATATTTTGTGGAGCTGATGGAATAACAGCTTTCCTGTCCCTTTATTTCCTATCCTTTATATTCCTGTGCCTCTCGGGTTTCAGGTCGTTCTGTTTCCAGTCTTCCCACCCGCCTTCATTCCCTTTTACAACTTTCATCTCTTCTCTTTTCCCAATGGTCGCCACTCCTCCCACTGAGCCAGCCTTATAAAGACCTTGGCAGGCTATCCATTTCGTCATGGTGGTGGCGGTTGTTGCTGTTGCGTGCGACCCTGCCCTGCATCAGAGAAGGCTCGGCCTGGACATGGTGTTCCCCTAGTGCAGCGGGGCCTGGCACTGAGTCACAGAACTCGCACCATACATGTCGTGCCCTCCAGTGACCCGGGGGCCAAGGCAGGAGGCTCGCGCTGTACACAGTGGTCCTTGTGACTCTGGGCAGGGCATAAAGTCTCACACCATGCACAGTGTTTCCCTGCTGCCACGGTGTTCTGCCTGCTGGGATCGCCATCTTGAGCAGGTGGAAGACCCGTGGAACCTGAAACCACTTGCTGGTGAGAGGAAAACGAGTACATTTCTTCCAGTCATGCATTTTCTTCTTTCCTTTGTAAAATGTTAAAAGCCCATCTTACCATTTATATTATAAAGAAAAGGCCCTCTAAAAATCCCCAATCAATCAATCAATCAATCAATCAAGAGAAAAACCTAAACCCCAAGCTTCCATCTTCAATTTGAATAGGCACAATTAATTAAATTTGGTGGATTTGGGGGTCTTAGATGCAAACTGAACAGATGACCTATAATCAACCGATATTTTAAAACTAAACACTTGTATTTTACCCATTGTGTTAGTTGCCAGGGATCAGAAAATGTAATATATGGTCCTTATCCCAGAAGAGCTCACGGTCTAATAATAGGGCCTCATACGGAAATGTCTAACCACAGCAAAAATGTGATGCTATAAAATAAGTGTGAAAAAGACTCTGTGAGAACAAAGAGGGCCCGTATGAGGACAAAGAGGAGGCAGTCTGCCCAGCTCTGCCTGAAGTGGTCGGGGAAGCGCCTTCCGTGGCAGCCCTGGTGATTGGATTCAATGAGAAGGCACTTCCTTTTAGTGCTGAAAAGGATGAGGAAGATCCTTCTTGCTGCTCCCCACTGTGTTGATGAGCTCAGGTTCTGCAGGTATACCACAAAGGATTCTTGATTTCTGACCAGGTCTTCTGCCCTGAATCCTGGTTTGTTCTTCCCATGTTATAAACTGGACCACCTGGAAGGAATTCTGACTCATCCTCTATAGGTTCAGCTGAATTATTCCCTGAGAGCACCCCTCCCCCCACGCTGGGTCTAGGGCTGGGATTCACAGCCCTCAGGAACTGTATGTCTAGTTGACGGCTTTGGCTTTGGCTTTTGGTGGCTTGCTCTGTGTTAGCTCAGCTGTGCCGTTTCAGCCGGGTCAGGGCCTCTGAGACACAGGGATGGCACTGGGGGAGAAATGGATATATTAATACTGCTCGGGGACTTCAGTCCCTCTGTCATGGGTAATGATGACATTTGCAGCTCTGATTTCTTCTTTCAGAGGGTGTGTTGAAGAGTGATGAGAAAGAAGATTTTATTCTGAAGGAGGAAATTTTTGAGGAGCCACAGGGCCACGTGGTGCTATCAAGAGGACCCCGGTGGTGTGGTGCCCAGGGATCCGGGTTTGGAAAAACCTGTGAAGAGGAGAGAAGTAGGTTAGGAAGATGGTGGGACGACCCCAGTGTGGGGAGTGTGGAGAACACTACAAATGATATTATAGAAGTGATCGTCAAAGACGAAATGATCTCTGGAGAAGAGAGTTCAGAAAGTATGGATGTTAATACCCACCCCGTTCTATATCAGAAGATTCTAAGTGAGCAGGTATCCTGCATATGTGAAGAATGCAGCACATGTTTTGATCAAAGTGAAGACTTTGGTCAACATCAGAGAGTTCATAATGGAGAGAAGGTCTATGGATGTAAGGAATGTGGAAAGACTTTCAGTTTTAGATCACATTGCATTGCACATCAGAGAATTCACACTGGGGTGAAACCCTATGTATGTCAAGAATGTGCTAAAGCCTTTATTTGGAAGTCAAACCTGATTCGGCACCGGAGAATACACACAGGAGAGAAACCCTTTGGTTGTAAGGAATGTGGGAAGGGTTTTAGTCAGAACACAAGCCTTATACAGCATCAGCGGATCCACACTGGGGAGAAACCATATACGTGTAAGGAATGTGGGAAAAGCTTTACTCGGAACCCAGCCCTCCTTCGCCACCAGCGAATCCACACTGGGGAGAAGCCTTACGAGTGTAAGGATTGTGGGAAAGGCTTCATGTGGAACTCAGATCTTGTTCAGCACCAGAGGGTCCACACTGGGGAGAAGCCTCATGAATGTACTGACTGTGGGAAAAGCTTCATCTGCAAGGCACACCTTATCCGACATCGGAGAACCCACACTGGGGAGAGACCCTATAAATGTAATGACTGTGGGAAGGCCTTCAGTCAGAATTCTGTTTTGATGAAGCACCAGAAACGCCATGCTTGAGGAAAACCCCGTAGCTGCCAGACCTCTCACCTTCTTGAACATGAGAGAACCACATAGTAGTGATACTTGTTTATAATACTCATGATACAGGAATCCCACCGACAAAATGCGATGACCATCCGCATTTGCTATCACTCTAATAGTATTATCATTCTCCTCCTGAACAGTCACCCTGTACTCCAGCGAGACTGGTCCCCCTGTTCAACAATGTTCGTACTAGGCAATATTTAGTTGAGCACCTACTGTGTGCTAACCACTTGACATACATTCTTTATTTTTCTTAATCTGATTAAGGTAGATACTCTGATCCCCATTTTACAAAAAAGAAGTAAGGTTGAAAAAGGCTATAAAACTCATTCAAGGTTGCTCGGCTAGTAAGAGTTGAGATTGGAACCAGGCCTAGCTGACTCCAGAGTCTACTGTTTATTTGTGCACATTTCTGCTTCTATCCCTCTATTTGCCCAAGTTTCCCTGGGTTAACGTTTCCTGTCCTCACCTGAAACCCCGCTCCTTCAGCAGAACAGACCTCTGTTCCTCTCCTATGTATTTATAATCAGTACCACCCAATTTGGTATTTAATTATGTGCTTTCTTACATTTTTCTAATGGCTTCATGTCTGTTAGTCCAGCTAAATGGCTCTTGGAGGACCAACATATTTCTTTTATGTTTTCAAATTTTAAAACATTTATTTTGGACTAGATATGTTCATGATAAAAAATGGAAATAGTTCAAAAAGATACTCACTGAAACATAAATTTTTTTGTCACTCAGAGACCTCCAAGTTGTACATCTTTCTGGATACATTCTTTATATATCACACACTCACAGAAGTATGAATACTGTTTTCCTAAGTCTACCTTGCTTAAAACTGTATTTGTCGTAAATGACAACTCTAGGGCCTTCTCTGCCTCAGCAGTTGTGGTCCTCCTGAGGTCACCAAGGTAACGAAAGAAAGTAGCAGAGGGTAGTCTGGGCTATGCAATCTTGGGAGACCTAATTGTCCTAAGATAGTAGTATGGGGCTAGGAAAATATCAATCCAATGGCAGAGAAAAAGAGCTGTAACTCTGACCTCCATGTGGGGCACCACAGTGGCCTGGGTGGGAACTAAACAAATGAGGACGTTCAGCAGAGGTGGACAAGTGGAGCTCGCTGAACCGGCCAGGCCAGTCTAAGAAAGGTATACGGGGCTGTGTGGTAGGCTGCTGGCTGGGGCCTGGACTCACTTGCCGGTGGTGGTCCTTTCTACGAAGGACCAAAAAGCACTGCCTTTTTGATATCCCGAGGATCTTCTTGGGTATAGAATAAGAATCAGGAACCAGGCACCCGCCTCCAAGAGGAAGGACGGCTCGTGGGTGCCTCATGGTTCAAAAGCCCCACTTCTCGATCCTGCCTTAGACTCCACCCCCTTTCCAAGGAGGTCGAGTGGACCAGGGAGGTGCAGGACCCCGCGGCTGGGAGGAACGCAGGCATTGACCTCGCCGGCCCTCTTTTCCCTAGGCTTGTTTCATGGGAACCAGAAGGAGGAACCACCGAGATGTAGGGTCCTCCAAAATTACTAGAGGGAATTTCAGGGAACGTATGGGCTGGCCAGTCAGCGTGAGGAAGTACTTCCGGCGCAGCCACTGTTGCACGTGAGGGTTTGGGGCTCGGAGGCGCGCGTCGTGTGCAGAACCACCGTTCGTTGGAAAGGTACGTAGACCGCTCAGAGCCCACAGGGAGCGGGTCTGACTGGGTCTGAGAAGGACGGGAAGGACCTCCTGGGAGACGGGAGCGGCTAGTGCTGCTGCTGCTGGGGTCCTCATCCCAACCCCCGGGCTCCACCCGGCCCTGTCGACAGGGGGCGCTGGCGGGCCCGGGACGCCGACCTTCGGCCCCAGCACAGGCAGCGACCTGTTCATTTTGGGGACTGACACCAGTTCCGGTGGGTTGACACCAAGGACCTTAAAAAGTTTTCACTTCGCTTGGGGACGTGCCCACTGTCAGCAGAGAACAGGCCCCTGGGTCGCGCCGGCCGCTCTCGCCTTGGCTGCGGAGACCCCAGCCCTGCCCCTCAGCCGCTGTACAACTTAACGTTTTCTCCCTGTTCTGGGGGTCGCAGGAAATTGGTCAGTGATCACTGCGTTTACTCAACCTGGCCTGGTGTCAGAGGCACTTGGAGGCCTATTAGTGTCGCTAGAGCAGAGTCTTGGAAAGACTGAAACAGTTGGTTTTTTCCCTCCAGGACCGAGGCTTAGTTTACAAATTGGAGAATGGAGTCCTGGATTTGGAATGGCCCATATGAATGTTGAATCCAAAAAAAAGTCTCATGACGAGTCATATCCCAATTCAAACACCGAATGTGTGTCTAATGTTGGGCATATAATTTCCCGCATACGGTATTGGAGAGAAGGAAAGATTTCTTGACCAAGTTCTCGTCACATCCTTGCTTTCTCTTGTCTTTACATTCCTTAACATTTGCTCTTCGTCAAGACCTAATTGTTAGAGTTCGTGATCTATGGGATTAAAATTTGGCCCCTCCCCCTAGCGGAGTGATTTTTGCTTCAGCTCCCAGCTGTGCTTTTCCCCATAGGAGCAAGAGGAGGGATGTTTTGTAGGGTGGCCTCCGCTGCCATCCCCCTTTCAGACGACTGGCTTTTCACTGGTAACTGTGCAGAGGGGACCTTTTTGCTTTTGTTAAATGTGTCAATATTATAAAGAACCGATCGAAAGGAACATTTACCATAAAGATGATAACAATATCATGATTTAAGAGAACCGGCGCGCGCAGCGGCAAGGGGTTCCCGTTTACTCTGTGTGAATTACTGCTTGGTTACCCGCGCACGGGCCCATCCGGGAGTGTAGCAGCGGGAGCTGAGGAGTGGCCTGCTGTCTTGCCACTGCGAGATGAGCGTTGCGACTGACGCAAGGCAATGGCTGATGAAGAGCAGTTCCTGTGGCCTCCGAACAGGCCCAGTCAGGCGTCACCCGCAGGAGTTCAGGCCAGTAGAGGTCCGGGGGCTAATGCTGCTTTCTCTACCTTCAGCTCCTTTTCCCAAGAGCGGAGTAAAAGAAGTCAGATCATGACAGCAGTGTCCTTGGCAGCTCGGTTCCAGGTGAGCTGGGTTTCCTCTGCCTCTGCACGTATGCATGTGTATCTACATATATATTTACATATGCATGCATACTTATGTACATGCATTTATATAAATAAATGACATACTGTTCCATATGTAAATTTACTTTCTCATTGAGGGATAGCTTACAAGTATTTGCAGTACAAATCTGAACTGTTTAGCTCTTTAGAAATATATACACATGTATGACCATCACTCACATTAAGACAGAGAACATTATCAGTACGTCCACACGCCCCCTCATGTGCCATCGCAACCAGTCTGCCCCAGAGTTGACCATTCTTGTGACCTCGGTCACCATAGCTTAACTTTATTTATTCTTCAACGTGCTAAAAATGGAATTGTTCAACGTGTACCCTTTTGGATCTGCCTGCCTTTGTTCACCATTGTGTTTGTGAGTTTTACCCATGTTGTTACACAAAGCAGTTCTTTTTCAATGCTGAATGGTTTTCCATTATATGATTTTATTTTATTTGTTCTTCTGGAGATAGAGATTCGTTCTTCTTTTGACTACTGCGAATAAGAATGCAGTGAAAATTCTTGCATGTGCATTTTGATGGACACATGCGCTCATTTCTCTTGAGTGTATCTTCAGAGGTCAAGTTGCTAGGTCAGAGGGTGTGCATTTGATTAGTTTTAGTAGAAGCTGCTCAACAATTTTCTGAAATAGTTGTCCCAATTTATATTTTTACCAGCAGTACACGAGAGTTCCAGTTGCTCCACATCCTTGCCAGCACTGATTGTCACTCATCATTGCTATCTCATTGGGGTTTTGTAAGTTTTCTTTTCCCCAATAAGCAGTGATGTGGAGTACCATTTCATGTGTTTATGGGCTACGTGAATCTCTTATGTGAAGTCCCTGCTCAGATATTCTCCCCATTTTTTATTGCATTGGGTGTCATTTTTTTTCTCCGAGTTGTAGTTCTTTATGATGGATATGAGTCCTTTGTCAGACACATGTATTATGAAATATTTTCTCCCAGTGTTTGGCTTTCTACTTCACTGCCTCAGTGGTGTCCTATAGTAAGCAGATTTTCCTCTAAGCCTATCCCAAGCAAGCAGTATTTTCCTTTTGGGTCTCTCTAACCTCACTACCTCGGCCTGGGGGTGGGGGAGTCACAAACCTGAGAGCTTTGTGCCTGGGGTAGTGGACAAGGAGACACAAATGAGGGAAGAACTGGGAAGAAAGAAGAATTGGGAAATGACAGTAAAATGAGCAGCCCGAATAATCACCCAGCTGTTTTACAAAGAGGGGAGGGGCTTTGAGCTAAGGTGTCAACCGTATTACTTACATGTTTCTTCTCCTTTTATATGTATAATTCCACACTCAGGCACAAGCCCAGCTCCTATCTAGGGGTCTGTTTGGAGGTCACCTGTGTTTGGAAGATCAGTGGAGATGTACACGGTTCTAACTGGCTGGTTGGCTGCCTTTCATCTGCGTCCTCTTTCTCCACACCTTGCAAATGTCACACAAAACCTCATCAGGCACATGAGAGGCCCACTACTAAATGCATGTCACCATAGGTGCCCTTCCCAGGCCTCTCATCGACAGTTTTGACTATTGCCAAAGTCGTGAGGCCTGGAAGCATGGGAGCTTGTCGTTCCAGGAACCAGTGACCTTTGAGGACGTGGCCGTGTACTTCACCAAGGAGGAATGGGCCAGCCTGGCCCCTGCGCAGAGGGCCCTGTACCGGGAGGTGATGCTGGAGACATACGCCAATGTGGCTGCCCTGGGTAAGGCCTCTGCCCCGCTCTCTGCCTGGGCCCTCACAGGTTGAAGGGCTCTCTCACACCTGTTAGCTGACACCGAATGGCAGCGTGAAGAGTTGCCAGGTGCAGGGAGCCCTGGAGTCTCTTTAACCTACAAGAAGGCTTCCCTTCCTTTTCCATTGTAAAAGCGACCCTCCTCTCTGTCTGCCTTAGAGAGGTACCCTCACTCCAGCATGGAGCCTGCAGGTCACCTTGAGAGGGCTCAGTCCCTCGTCTCCCTGTGGGGCCCCCCTAGGAGCCCTGTGTCAGCTGTCAGTGGGGATTTTCCATCCTCTGACAAAGCAGGTGGGAAGTTTTGTTTCTGCCTTTAAATGGAAATTTGACTCCCAGAGGATGTCAGGCTTCCTTGGGAGCACTGCCCTGAGGCTTCTTCGGGGGGCCCTCGCTGTGCCTCTTCAGGGCGCAACTAGCTCAGCCCACCCAGGACCTCCTCTCCCAGCCTCCTTTGGCTCCGGTGGCCGCAGGCTGAGACTGAGCTCTGCGGCCCTAACCGTTGTGTTGCATCTTCTTCCCTTCGAGCTCCGTCACCGGTGTCCAAACCAGCTCTGATCTCTCAGCTGGAGCAAGGGGAGGAGCTGTGTTTCTCGGAACCTTGGGAGGACCAGGGCAGGGGAGCAGCCTCTGCAGGTGAGTTCGGCAAGGGGCACCCTTTCCAGCTTTGTGTCTTCCTTTGCTTTTATGTCCTCAAAGTGAAAGAGGTGTGTTCTTGGTGCCCAGCCTGACGGAGGGCACTGGGTCACACTCTTTCTGGCCTCCCGTCCCCTCACCCTGTAGCGGAACCCCCCCGCCCCCCGCCGTGTTTCACACACCCGTGCTTTTCTCCCTGGGGCAGGGCAGGTGGTGTGCAAACAGGTCTCTCACTACTTTACTGGTTATGTGTGATCACCTTTTTCCAGCTTCCCCCAGTTTTACAAAATTGATCTACTCAGTGTAGTCATATCTTGTCCACTAATCAACAGAACAAACAGAAAAACTTATTTTTGCTTTTCATGATAATTAATATATTAAATTGTAAAATATTTTTTTATATTAAAATACTTTAAGGTAGCTTACAGGTATTGTGATTCTCTCCCCTTTAGAATACAGCTCGAAAATAAGAAGATGGACCCACTTAACTAAAATAATACCACTTGCAATAAAATTAAAAATTCTTCAGAATCATCACTTCTGGGAAGACAGGACAAAGGCTTAATTCTTTACCTTAAAATACCAGTTTTCAAAGTAAGAAGCTGACTTAAGAGCCATCTTAAATGATGTCAAATACACATTTTCTTTTTCTGCAGACACGTGGATTTCCAAAGATTTAATGTTTCTCGGTCCATTAAAGTGATCCATGTTGATACACAGAGCTTGTGTTCGTGTCCTTTTTCAGACAGCTTTATTGAGGCGTAACTCCCAAGCTGCGCAGTTCACCCGTTCACGGGGTCCATTCTGTGGTGGTCCGTATATCCAGAGTTGTGTGAGCACTGGCGCCATCCACTGGGAGAACACGTCTGTCACCCCCAAAAGGAGCCCTGTGTCCGTTAGCAGTCGCTCGCCATCCTCCTCCCCCACACTCAGCTTTAGGCATCCGCTGAATTTGCTTTCTCTTTCTATAGAGTTGCCTGTTTTGGATGTTCTGATATTAATGGAGTCATACAATATATGGTCATTTTCAGCTGGCTTTCACTTAACATGTTTTCAAGGTCCTCCTATTTTGTAACATGTATTTGTACTCCATGCCTTTTTATGTGTGGATAATATCCATTAGATGGGTGATACCACATTTTTGCTTATCCATTCGTCAGCTGATGGACATTTGATACAACCAGCCTAGCCTACCGTACCGTGAATGTGCTCTTAGTAACCTACTAATTCTAAGAATTTATGTCAGTTACCTTAGATTTATATCATCTACAAAAAAAAATTGCAGTTCTTTTTAATCCTTACACTTTCAATTTATTTTTCTTGGTTTATTACACTAGCTAGCACCTCTGATACCATGACTAGCAGTGGTGATAGCAGACATTGTTGCCTCATTTCCAGTCTCGATCGTTTCATTCCTAAGTATGATCTGTACTCTAAAATTTTGTAGCTAGTCTTGATAAGATGAAGGGAGATTGTTCTGTTTCTGATTTTGGTAAGTTTTCTCCCTTAATTCATAATTAAAAAATAGAAGTAGATTGAATTTTATCAAATGCTGTTTCTGTTGAACTGGTCATATGATTTTTCTCCTTTAATTTGTTAATGTAGCTAATTACATTGATTTGTTAAATCAGCCGTGTATTCTTGAAATAAACTCATTCTTGCAATGATGCAGTAGTCCCCCTTCCTTTTTTTACACATTGCTATATTTGATTTACTAATATTTTATATAGGATTTTGGCATCCATGTTTATGAATGAACTTGATTGTAAATTTTTTCTTACACTGCCCTCATCAGGGTTTGCTGTCACGGTGGTGATAGCCTCATAGGGTGAGTTAAAGTGGACCTTTTCCTTCTGTTCGCTGGAAGACTTTATGGACAGTTGACATACATTGTCTGTTCTGTAGCTATTTGGTAGAACCCTTACTGAAGGCATCTGGGGCCAGAGATTTCTTTGTAGGGAGATTTTAATGACAGATTCAGCCTATTTAATAGGACTATTTCAGATTTTCTTATTTCTTGTTTTCATTTTGCTAAGTTGTATTTACTGAAAAATTTCCCTTTTCCTCTTAAAATTTCAAATTTGCTGGCATAAAGTTATTCATAATCTCATTTTTAATCATTGTATAATGTGTACTTACATCTTTTCCATTTATGGTATAGGTTATTTATAATTTCTCATTTTTCTTGATCAGTCTCATTAGAAGTTTAACAACTTTATTAGTTTTTCAAAGGACCAACTTTTTACCTCAATCTTAGTCTGTTTTCTATTTTATTAATTTCAATTATCATTTTACTATTTTATCCCTCCGACTTTTTGTTATTTTCTTTTTGGGTAACTACTGGTTGAGCTAGTACTTCTTCATCAGTTTTCTACACTTTTTAAATATATGAATTTATAAGTTTCCTGGTATGTACTACTTTATATCTTCAAATTTTATTTCCATTATTCAGTTCTAAATACTTTCTAATTTATATTATATATCCTTTTCCCCTTGAATTATTTGAAAGTATATTCCTTAATTTCCAAACACATGAGGTTTTTTTAAAGTTACCTTCTGTTCCTGATTTCTAGCTTGGTTTGAATAGTTATCAAAGAATATATTCTATATGATTTCAGTACATTGAAATATATTGAGGTCGCCTAATATATGCTCAGTGTTGGGGAATGGTCCCTTAATATCAAAAGATGTATCTATTTTGTAAGAAAAAGGACTCGTGGACACAGTAATATGATTGTGGTTGGGGGGGAGTAGAGGGGGAAGAGGATAGAGGAGGTAAACGGGAATGGAAAAAATACAATAAAAAATCAGTTAAGATGTGATATTTTGTAATAGTTCAATGCAGTAATCCATATGGATTCAGCATGTCAACTTAGTATTCTTTAATCTTTTTTACCTTGACTGATCCGTGTGGGTGTCGCGGAGAATCTCACTCCGCGCTCCCGGGTTGGTCCAGGTTTCCTCATTTGCTTCGCGTCCTGAGGCTGCACGTCCCGCTGAGCGCTGGGCCGTTGGGCCTGGGCAGCAGGACTCCTGCGCAGGCGGTGGGTGGGCGGACCGCACCCCACTGTCTGTGGTCCTGAAACGTTGTGCTCCAGGTCCTTTTTTTGCCCTTTAATCTGCGGTAAGGATACTGCTGACTGGCAGGAATTCTGGGAACAGGTAGGGAAAGCAGCAGCGGAGGAGAAAGTGGAGGGAGGGGAGCGAGAAACGGAGGGTGGCAGGGCGGGGGCGGGGTGGCGGGGCACCGCTGCCAAAGGACTGCGAGGGAGGCTGTTGCATCGGCAGTGTTATCAGATACTCCCAGCTGCCCCGAGAGAAACTGCTTTTGGGAGGAAAGGTGTCAGGGCTTTTTCCTGTCACTTCCTGCCCTGCCTCCCAATGCGACCCTCCTGCAGTTGGGCCTTTTGTGTCCTTCAAACCCAACTGAAAGCGCAGCTTCCTGCCCTGCAAAGTCCAGAGAGGACCCTGATCTAACATCATGCACATCCCCGTTCCCCCTGCCTAGGAGGCCGCCCCTCTCCCTGCTGCCCACTCAGAGAACTTCTCCCCCCACGAAACACTCAGCTGGCTCAGGAGCCCTGGGCGCCGTCGCTCACCTACTTGGGCGCATGTGTGTCTTCCTGCGCCTGGTGTCAAGAGTGGCCTGCTCCTCCTGACAGCTCCGGGCATGTTGCTCGTTTCCACACTTTCTCTGACCTGGAGAGCCTGGTAGGCAGAGGACTGTGTCCCCTAGCCCGTTCTTGGCATAGAAGTGATGCTGAATGTTGAATCAAGAAATGATTTCTGCAATAAGTAGATACGAATATATTGGGCAGTTCAACCACTTTGACATTCATTCACTCTGCATGTATTTATTAAGTTCACTCTCTGTGTCAAGCATCGTGATAGGTGCCAAGATGACACCTGTGACTGGTAGTCCTGGCATCTGTCCTCACATTGCGCAGGAAAACCTACATGAAGATAGGCAGCCACGCGTAGTGGGAAGCAAGGACTCCAGCAAGAAATACAGTTTCATGAATCCTGCCCACACGGAGAGGTCCGCTGGCAGGCAATAGAAGCGGGGTAGGCTTTTGCTCCAGGTTCAGGTCTATAAAATGCCTGTGGCAGGAGACTGTTGAATCAGAGCCTGTTAGGAAGTTAGGATGCCCCAAAGGCCCAGTGGGCACATAGCCACAGGTTTCCTGGCTGAGGAACAGACTATGGGATCAGCTGCACTAATTGCCCTGTCTTAGCTGCGCCTCCACCGCCTCCACCACCTCCACCAAGGGCAGCCAGGACAGTATGCAGAGCCAAGAAAAACCCAAGGCTGAAATCAAAGCGTAGAACAGCTGCCCCGTGTTGGAACGTTGGCCACACGGTGGTGCTATTTACCTCTTCAAGTCCTCATCATTGAAAAACTTTCTCTCTTGTACCCCGATTCTGGGACCCGCCTCGCTGTGTCCAATGCTGCCCGCCAGCCTTGAGGCTCAGTGCATTTCCTCCTTGGCATGTCTTCTGGGGGGACCACTGTCCATGGCTGTGAGAACCATTCAGGATACCCATGACCCGAGCCCTCAGAATTCATCTTCAGATCTTGAATGATGGAGTCAGCTAAACACGTCTGCCGACCATGAGAAGCGATGATTGGCTTTGGGAAGCATGTTGAGCTGATGCGGCCCCTCCTTCATCCTCGGGACTGCTGCGTGGGCGCAGGAGCAGGGTAAGGGGACCATCGCAGCTTTATCGAGGGCTCTGTGAGCACGGCTGTGGTTGGGGTGGCAGAGAAAAGCTGTCCTTTGATGAGCACCTGCGAGGTGTTGAGCTCCTCCTTACGTTCACTGTCCTTTCTCACACATTTCACGAGGAAGGCATTACTCCCATTGTATAGACACGGAAGCTGAGGCTGGGTGGGCACATCGTTTGTCCAATGTTACCCAGCCCAAAGTGGTGACATTCAGTTTCAGCCCCAGGTGGGACTCTCTCCACAGCTCCCAAGTTCTCTCTTTTCGTGTGATTTGTAAGATGGAGCCCCACCCTTGTAGCATTTATAACTGAGGGAGATAATATGTTTAATTTAAAAAAATATGTTTAATTTAAAAAAGGTGACAGTGCCTTGGCCGGTGTGGCTCAGTGGACTGAGAGCTGGACCGCGAACCAAAGGGTCGTGGGTTTGATATGCAGTCAGGGCACATGCCTGGGTTGCGGGGCAGGTCCCCAGTAGGGGGCGCACAAGAGGCAACCACACATTGATGTCTCCCTTTTTCTTCCTCCTTTCCCGTCTCTCTACAAATAAATTTTAAAAATCTTTAAAAAAAATGATAGCAACTTAAGAGAGCTGCTTTTATTGACATGGAAATGGCCACAATATATTGCTAAGTGAGGAAAAGCAAGCTTGAGAATAGCAAATTAGTCCTCAGTGGAGGCAAACAGTGAGAAGGATTGTGCCCACCGCCCTGGTCATTGCGACACAGGAGACTTCCCCTGTTTCCCGCCAGAAAGCCCCGTTCCAAGGGCTAACCATGTCTGTTACGTACTGTAGGTTAGTGCTATCTGCTCTGCATACAAAGGAAAGATGTTCACTATGTAGTGACTATGTAAACTATGTAGACACAAATAGTTTGTGTTTAGATGCTTTCCCTGCATTTAGTCTGTGAGATTTATCCATGCTGTTGCATGTAACGGAGACCTTTAAAATTGCTGCGCGCTCTTCCATGGACTGAATATACTACTGGTTGATGGACATTTGGGTGTGAATGAAGTCACCGTGACCCTCCTTTTACATGTCTTTTGGCTGATGCAGTAACTCATCTCCTGAGTATTTGGGTGGTTCCCAGCGTGGGACCACATGAATAATGCAGCGATGAGCACCCTTGTACCTGGGCTTTGGCGCACATCCGCAGGCCGTTCTGTTGGGTGCAGGTCTGGGGGCAGATGTGCTGGGTCACTGAGCCCGGGGATACTTAGGTTTAGTAGACAGCCGGAGTATTTTCCAACGCGGTGGCAGTCTTGCTTGTTACTGGCATTCAGCGCCAAACACAGGGTGTGTGACAAACAGTCCCTGGATGTGTACATGGGGAGGGAGGGAGCAGGAGGACAGGGAGTGAGAGTATAGGACAAAGACTGTCAGCATTGTAGACACGTTTCGTCACAGAGTCATGGGCACGTCTAGTGCTGGTTCCCGTTAGCTTTCACCGCGGAGGGTAATGTTACTGCCTGGTTCCCAGGCTCTCACGGGGAGCCCTGCTGCAGACCACAGGCTACTTAGGGACACAGGCCTCTTGAATGTCACTAAACTGTTAACAGAGGTGCCAGCCCCCAACTCCAGGGCTGTGGACTCCACGCCCTCTCCTCTCTCCAGCCAGGAGCACGCAGCCCCTTAGGTCCTGGGGAGGCTGTGCACAGCCCACCCGTGGGTGATCCAGGGGGCCCAAGGTTCTGTCTGTGCTTCCAGTAACAGAGGGGCGGGTATCGGCCATGTACTCCAGCTCCCCAAAGGGGCTAAGGGATACCAGTACAACAGGGTTGTCTTTCTGAGGGTTTGCAGGGGAGAACGATGGTTTTGGCAGCTCTGAGCAGGTCCCTCCGAATTACCGCGGACTCACAGCGCGCCCACACACCTTGGAGGCGGGATCTGGGCGATGCGCCCAGGCGCGCCTGGCCTCTTGCTTCTGCTCCTCTGCCCTCAGCGGGCAGGACGGTTCCTTCCCAGCACCTGGGCCCCTGCCGCAGGCAGCTGCGGCTGCCCGAGCCCAGGGCAGGGCTTTTATTGTGAAAGGAGCTCCCCCCTTCCGTGCTTTCGGGGAAGTGGGGAGGCTGGGCCAGGAGGAGCGGCAGGGACTTTGCAAACTCTGCAACCGTCCCTAGCTGATCCCGATGGCTTGAGGCTGCGCAGGGCTCCCGCAGACCCACAGATCCCGTGTGCATTGGCCCAGGCCTCCTCTAACACCTCCACCCACGGAACAGCCCGCGCGCATCGCATGCCCGGGAGTTGTCGTGGGGCCACTTGGCTGTCGGGAAGCTGCGGACCTTTGATCTGAGAAGCCCACGTCCAGGGGAGCCTGGAGAGCCACCCTGCCGGGGCGCCCGGGTGCGGCAGGATGAGCTGGTTAGCGGACTGAGCACCGAGGAGCGGGTCGGCCGCATCGCGGGGGACATGGTAGGAACTGCTGGAGGGGAAGTGCTGTGGAAGGGTAGGGTGGGCACCCAGACAGGTGGTCACAGGCAGCGCGCACCCGCTCTGGGCGCCCGGAGCCCCCAGACCTCTGGGGCTAGAATTGTTCCCCGAAGTTTCCATGGGAGCGGTGGCGGCTTTCATTTCTGCACGGAGAACAGGGCGGGCAGCTGTGTTGTTTCCCTCGGGGGAGGATTGTAATTCGGGGCTTTCACCGCCGACCCGCACTCCCTGGCTGAACCCCTCTCCGCTCCGCACAAACTTCATCCAACCCGCAGCGCAGGAGAGAAGCGGATTCTGGGAGGCGTTCAAGGCTGCCTTTGATGGGTGAGGCACCTATGAAGTCACTTTATTCCACTGGAAAATGCATGCGAACTTTATATTATCTTTACATTATCTTCTATAACATAGCCACGTTTGAATAGTAAGAAGTAATGACCTACACTTATTACAGTAGAATCACATTGGCGCTGGCAAGGTCCCACCGCCTGTTCTTAGGGCCCCACCTCCCTCCCCCTCCAAAGGGCAGGTGTGGGAGCGCCGGTCAGCCCGGAATGGCGCTCACAGCGCTGGGGACCTTGTGAAAGTAGCTCCTGCACCGACTGAGTTCACAGACGCCAGCAAGCAGGAAAGGTAGACACTCGGAGGACGTGACCCAGACAGGCAGCCAAGGCAGAGAGGCAGGGCGTCGGGAATTCTGGGGAGGAACTTCAGTTTCCTCCTCGGTAATAAACTGAGAGCTTGGACCAGATGTCCATGGAGGCTCCACTTAGCCCCCAAAATAGATGATGCGTGAATAATGCCGAAGCTGGTCCCCAGCCCTGGCGGTGACCTCTTCTGAGCACGGACAACTTAGAGGGTGTGAGGAAGAAGGGCTTCTCAGCCCTGGTTCTGACTGCTCCCCAGACCAACTCTGGGGCAGGGGCCCAGACCACGGGTTTTTTTTAAGGTTCCCCAGGGTATCGCACGGTGTAGCCAGGACTGGGACCCACCGGCCTCGGGGGGCTGAGGGGGCAGGGGTGGCTTGGGCGGAAAGCCCACTTCCCCAGGGTCCCTGCCTCTGTAGAGCGGCCACTCCTCGGTCTCAGGTCCTAAAATGGAAGGTTTTGGTGAAATCCGTCTGGGAAATGATACATGCAACATGCACCTCTTGGGGAGTCCTTCCATAGAGAAACCTCTTTAAACTCATTAACACTGAGATGGGAACTTTGCCAGCTTGCTTGAACATGGAAGCCTTTATCCAGTAATTCCTTACCCCTGCTGCGGTATGGATCCAGGGTACATAAGAAGGGAAAGTCTGAGTTAGAAATATAAAGCTAAACGTCTGGAATCCTTATATGTCTTTATGCAAAAGCAGACCCTGAGCCGCGCGACCTGAGGGCACCTCTGATCCTCCTGGAGGGGGTGTGGACCTCTGCCAGGTGTGGGTGTAGATTTCTAAGCTAAGATTGCGCCCTCACTGCTCTTCCTTACAGGGACGGTGGGAGGCTTGGTGTGTGCCAAAGACTCTGAGCTGCGATGAAAAATATTGATAGAAGTTAAGACTATTACTGCCAATTTCTTTTTTTAAGTTTTCTTCCTGACTCTTGAGAGGTAAAAATAATTGACAGCCATCCAGCCAACTTCTGTCTTCAGGTAACCATGGTTACTATTGCGCTGCATCCCCTGCTCTTTGAGGAGTATCATAAAGCGTTGAAATCATACCGAACATGCAGATTTACAGCCTGATTTGTTTTGTTCACCTTTTATCAAAGCGTGTTTCCGTGGCTACATCTCTCCAAAGAATCTGCATGACCCCATTTTTAATGCTCAGGACCAGGATTTTGATCATCATCTCCCTGCTCGTGGACCTTCCACGTTGGGGCTGTTTTTAGTGGCATGTGGCCAGCCCCTCATGGTCCCTGGACACGGCCGTCTGAGAGCCTGGCTGAGTGCGGATCAGGCAAGTGCCGGAAACAAAGTGCTGCAGCCTCTTCATCAAAGATTTTACTGCTGCTGGCCAGCCCCCCTTGAGGGCGCAGAAAGTGGGAGGCACCTGTCTTCACTCAGTGCCGTGACCACGCCCTCAGGCAGGCACCAGGAGGTGTGTGGACCCAGGGGAGCCCACGCCTGGGTCCGCGCCCCTCCACGGAACCAAGAGCTGAAATCCCTGGCACTTAGCTGGGAGGGGGGTCTCCAGCTGAAGGAGCTGAGGGAGCCCTCTGGCTGACCTAGAACCTCGCCTCCTGGTTCTTTCGCTCCTCCCACCGCCAGCACACGATCCGTCACAGACACGGTGGCCTCTGCACAGGCTTGAGGCATTTGGTGCAGCTTGGAGTGGTGGCGAGGAGGCACGGGGTTTCCTTACCCCTGCCAGGTTATGAATCAGAGCGGGGTGTGAGTCAGGCTGGGCCGCTCATGGCTCCGAGTGCTCTAACCCTCAGGCTCCTTAGCTGTGCAATGGGGTGTTAAGAATGGGTTGTTACAAGGAGCAAATGGAATCACAGGCAAAAACACTCGGAGCCCCAAAGGTGCTGTAACAACAGAGCCCCCCAAAACAGGTTTACTTTTTGTCAGGACCTGAAGCAAACAGTGGGGAAGTCACCGTGCGTCTCCTTTAATACCAGTCCAGGAGGTGCTTCTGGGAGTCTTCTCAAAGTGTGGCTCCAGTGGAGGCAGTTTCTATTCTAGAATAGTTTTCTTGCTCCTTTAAATCCCTCTCTTCACCAGGCAGGAAATACCCAGTCTGCGGAGATGTTTGCCCAGTGTTTGTTCCCGGGGCCTCCTCGCGGGGCACTGGGCGCTGGGCGCTGGGCGGGCAGGCAGCCCCCACTCAGCCACAGCCCCCGAGGTCTAATCGCCCTGGGCAGGTCTGGGTGACTCCCCGGGGAAGGGAAACCAGTTTGGGAATCAGAACTGGGAATCCAGGCTTCCCGCCGAGCCTGCCCGCAGGAACCTGACACCCTCCGGGAACATGGCTCCCACCTGCAGCTCCTGCTGCACACCTGAGCCAGGTGAGCAGGGGGCTGGCGGTGAGCACAGGATTTTAAACAACCCGCTGGCCCCAGCCACACCACGCAGGAGTTGGTCCAAGAACAGTGGGTTGGAAGTGGGGGTGGCGGGTGGGTTGGCCTCCCTTGACTGTTTCGGGGACCAGCAGGAGACATGGGCTTCAGGTGGGCTTCAGGGATGCTGACAACCCCCCATAAGAGGCCGGGAGGTCCGGCCCTTTCTCTGCATCCAAGGCTCCAGCATAGAAACAGCCCGCATCGGGTTTCCCTGAGGCCCCGGTGCCATGAGCCACCTGAGCTGCCTTTGCTTGGACGGTTTTTTGATGTGACTGCCAAAGTATTTCCATCTGGGGCGTCTGGGGCACAATCCCTGTATTGTCTGGATGTGTCTGCACTGGCCTGTGTCTAACGGCCTGACTGAGGGTGCAGCAGCGGTTTGCGGGGGACCCCTAGGCTGCCCTTCTCTGTGTGGACCCCTGTGCCCCCAACCCCTCCAACACAGACACATAATCCTGGAAGTGGCCGGGGGTCTGGCCATATTCCCGAGGGCCTGGCCCGATGGATCCAGAGCTGGGAGGTGCTTTAAGGTAGCAGCTGGTGAACTCAGGGGTGAGGGAGGAGAGCACGAGAGGGAGGGAGGAAACCGGGGGTCTCGTGCTGGTCTCCAGGCCTTGGCTGGTTCCAATGAGCATGTGTCTCCTTTGGCAAGGCCTGAGTCAGTGGCTTTGCGATTCTTGAGTGGCACATCTGGAAGGCCGCGAGAGGGGAATTCAGTCTGTGCCAGACTGTGTGTTAGGGCCCCCTTTCTCTTCCGGCTGCCTGGGCATTCGTTTGTTCGTTCATTCATCCATTCAGAAGGTGCCAGGGCAGCGGGCACAATGATGAATAACACACACCCTACTCCCAGGAATGTGCAGTCTAGTGATGCTGCTTGTGTGTGCCTGCGTGTGCACTTGTGTGCGTGCACCTGTGTGGGTGTGTCTGTGGGGCAGAGCAGGTAGTAGGTTCCGGGGAGAGGGAAGCACAAACAACTGTTTCTTTTTTCTTTAATTATTTTTAAAGATTTATTTATTTATTTTTAGAGAGCAGGGAGGGAGAAAGAGGAAGAGAAACATCCCTGTGTGGTTACCTCTCGCACGCCCCCTACTGGGGACCTGGCCCGCAACCCAGGCATGTGCCCTGACTGGGAATCAAACCTGCGACCCTTTGGTTCGCAAACCAACGCTCAATCTACCAAGCCACACCAGCCAGGGTGAAATGTTTTTATGAGCTAAATGCTCCAATGAGGATGCAGAGAAGGGGGATCCTCATTTGGATACCCCCAGCCTAAGGAGCGAGGGGGCACAGGAGGCTGCAGGAAGGGACAGAGAGTGTTGAAGGATAGCCTGGATTTTGGCAAGTGAAGAGAAGAGAAGCAAAGCTGTGACATACCAACCAGAATAACTAAAAAGCAACACACCCTGACAGTATCAAGAGCTGCCTAGGACGCAGAGCAGCTGGACGCTCCGTGGAAACGCACAGCGATATGGCCACACTGGAAAGCAGTGTGTTGGTTTCTTCTAAAGTTAAGCATGCACTTACCATACACCCAGGAACCCTATGTGTTTACCCATGAAGAATGACAACTTATGTCTATACAAGAACCTGGATCTGGCTGTTTATTGTAGTTTTATTTGTGACTTCCCCAAACGGGCAAACACCCAAATGTTCCTCAGCTGTAGACAGGACAAGCGCATCGTGAACCGTGCAAGCCACAGGCTCAGCCATAATGAGAAAAGGTACTGATACGGGCAAGAGCGTGGACAAATCCCAAAGGCATTGGGCTAAGGGGAAGAACTCCATCTCAAGGGTTACACCTTGTGGGATTCCATTTATAGGGCATTCCGTAGGGATGGCGGACAGGTGATAGCTGCCAGGGGTGAGGGGCTGTACAAGGGAGCTTTCTGGGGCGATGCAACTGTTACATGCTAATTGTGGTGGTGGCCACATGAATCT